ACTCCAAATACTAGGTCTTCCGCGAACGACTTTATCAACCGCTGGACTCTTTGACAACATTCTCCCTCTGACGAATCATTGTTGCCAGTCAGCAAGGTATACAAAAACACACTTAGCTCTTCAAGGACCTCTATGGCGCTGTCATTGAGCTCTGAAGGGCGAGATGGCCATGACATTTTGTTCTCTTCGTTTCCAATGGCATCGCGGATGTCAGCTGCAGCTTTCTGAATATTGGAGTTCTTTGTTGTTGCGCCTTTGTCTTCTTTTTCTGCCATAAGGATATTTAGTACATTTCTGGTTATTTGTACTGGTATTAGGCTATTAGGGATTAGGACTTGTACACGGTTGTTGTCTAGCAAGTTTCCAAACCTCATCAAATCATTGAATTCTGCTTCTATGTTCCTTTTGATATGCTTCTTTGCTGATGGCTTACATTCCTTGGCTCCTAATGACATTAGATACTGTAAAAGTAACTGCGTCATCTCAGACAGCCTTACGACTTTCTCGTTTTCAATCACATCTGACCTGATAAAGTCAAAAAGCATCTGGTAAGCATCAGACTCTAGACGGGCATATTCATCATCCGGAGATTCACTGCTCATATCAGTGTTCACACTGCTGCTTCCTTCTGGTCTAGTGTAACTCCCGTACCATGTCCTGTGATAACAAGCCTCTGCTGCAACTAATTCGCGCGAAACAAGGGCAAGAATCTTGCTGTCATTCTTTTGTGTAGCATCTTTCTGATAGAGCTATCTACACGCATATCTCGGCATTGTACTAAAAGGCTCACGATTCCTACCCTTGAATTATTTTGGCTTTTCACAAAAAATACAAATGCGCTCGTATGTTATGGAAATATTGGAATATCCTTGAATAGAGACTCTCCTAGCCACTTGTTCCGGTTGAGTCTGGATATTGGATGATTGCTGGGATAATTTATCTAATAAATTTTTCATTGTTAAAATGCTTCGACACTTTCGATGGTAGTAAATGAGCGGGACTTCTCCCTTGCTTAAAGACTTTTAAAGTTCTACAATTTCTTGATAATTTCGAATCTGTGCTGCTTGTAGCAAGGTTTTCCACGACTCCGCGTCTTTAGGATTAACTAAATCACTGCCCTCGTCGGTGCAGTGAATGATCCACTTTTTCTTGCAGAATCGTTTGACTGCATTTGACTCCTCAGCATCATCAACACTTCTCTTAGATGAGGACCCTATTTGTATCAGATGAATATATTTCAGCGTTTAAGTTGCAATGCAACTATAACTAAGACGGGGACATAACAGCACATACGGTATATTATAGTTTACGAAACTCTGGACTTCCAAAAGTTTTTTTTGCCACCATAGCGGTGCCACGATTTGGAATGAGTTACCACAAAAAACATACGAAAGTCAATTCAAAAGGGAAATAAACCTGTTTAGCTCTCTAGTTTTCTGATCCCCGGCACACGATAATCATTTAAGCCATTCAGGTATGTGTAGTCTTTATATCCTTTTTACTTCACTTAACTTTTTTAGACTGATGATTTTAGCGTGTTTAAAGAAACCATATGTATGTATTCATTAAAAATGGTATATCATATGGAATCTTCATTACCGAATAACCGATACGTCAAATAATGTTGACTGCAACAGGTTGATTCCTAAAATTAGATTATATTTCAAAATTTATAAATATATAAACAGATGTGTATGATCGATATGAGCAATAATTATACATTCAGTTTCTACCGGATTAGCGAAGTGAACATTCTACAAGATCTCTAAGTATTTCCTAAATTCTGCTTATTAAGTCAAAACTTCAAAGACTTTTGCTTCAAAAAGTGTAAGCGCTTTATTAACTAGATGATTTTGCTGACTTTTCGTGAAATTATTGCGTTTTACACGGTAAAATGGCTATTAATCCGGCAAATCAAGAACCCACTCACCTCCCATGGTAGCCGCCATTTTGGATTTTACCCATAATGCTATTCGAAGGCTACTTTTGAGTTTTCCTCGCTCTACTTTGGTTAAATTCAGAACAATTAATAGCGGGGCTCCCTCGCGCGCGAAGCGCGCGTGGGACAAAGCCCCATGCTCATAGAATATGGTCAACCTCTTTTCTTTTGGTTGTCACGTGACTGACCGAGCGTACGTACGTACGTACGCGTCTACAGATTGTACGGGTAGGGTAGGGGAAACTATCAAAAAGAAGGGAGGGGTGTCTCAGGCGTGTCTTGGCAAATCCACATCTTTTATATTGGCCATTCACAATATGGTCAATTGATAGCTGTCAAAACAGGATAGCCACTGACCAGTATCACATTGCCATATCGGGGGCTCATGTGTCAACTCATCAAGGTGACGTGATTTATTTGGAAGCTGTCCGCTGACCAGCTGTTTTACTAGATCGCGATCAATGTTCAATCTCATACTTTCTAGCTTATTTGAGAGCACAGAAAAACTGATAATGCACACATCCATTGGACATCAATGTTGTGATCAATTGACAGCTGTCAAAACAGGGTATCCGCTGATCAGTATCACTTGACCGTATCGAGGGCTCAGGTGTTGACCTATCGAGGTCAATTATTTTTTTGAAGTTATCCGCTGACAAGTTACTAGTTTTCAAATGATCGCAGACTCAAGTCTGATTTTTTTTTCATTCATATGAAATATGATTTGTTTTTGGGCAGCACAATTAAAATTTTGATTTATAACTGACCTCGGACCCGAAAATTCAAACAGCTATTACAGGCAGGGAAGATAATTGCTTTTGACTTTGCTCACCATGGTCACGCGTTGGTCACGCTGTACGTCCATTTTTTACGCTCTGATTGGTCAAAATTTGACAGGTGAGCTCATGTGGAAAATTAATGCAGCACCTTGAATCTTGTTTACCTGGACAGCTGAAGCTGACAGAGTTTTGTGTCAACTTGTGATGTTTTTAACAGTCTTTTTCCACTGGATGCACAAAATGAAATTCAGCTGCTATCGGGAGTCTTCTGTTATTCATGGCTAGTTGGTTTTTGGTTGAGAAATTAATACATCACTTGTCATAGTCGGGAATCCGATTTCGGAGGGCATCGTTTTCGTTTTTCACCTTGCTTGATGCGTAAAGGTCTGAAGCGATACTGGCCTTACTTGATACCTTTCAGGAGCTGCATCTCGAATGGTAAGCCTCAGTAATTATTGTGTTTCATGATTTAATGAAGTCGAGCGTAGTTTATGCGGCTATGTAGTTTATGCATGTTTGCAGGATTTGAGACAATTTGATCTGACCAAGAATCAGGTTTGATATAAGCTTTTACAACTTTAAAAAGTTTTTAGACATTTTCTCACCGCAAACAGAAAGAAAACGTTCCAAAGAACATTTAGTTATAACTCTGGCTGTAAAAGAATGCTTTGAGCGATTTTCTTACCTCGAGTTCATCTTTGGAAAAAGCAAATACCGGGAAACCGGCTTCAAACATAAACTTAAGCTTTAAGCTTGAAGACTCAGGATTTTTAGAGACACTTTAATACTTGTCTTCGTGAATGAAAAATGTTGTCTCTGTATATGTTTCGCCGAATTATATTACTTTTATTGATTGTTGGTAGTCTCTCTTGTAATTTTAATCGCTGTGCCGTTTGTTTCCAGTCCGCCGTTCAATCGCTTGCATGAGTACTCAAAATGCCGCGCGTATCAAACGCTTTTAAAGATTACACATCGATAAAACCATTAAATAAAAAATAAACATAATAATTTCTTTATTATGTTGGAGCTTAACTCTAGTATGTTCGTTCAAACATTCGCTACAACTGGCACTTCAAAAGTGAGAACCGGCTGGCCGTATATGTGATTTTGGAAATTTTTTTAACGGTTCAGCTAAAAGCCCACGCGTGGTTCGATCTTCCTGAATATTGAATGAGTGCAATTTGTGTTGCAAAATTGTGAAATACTGCATTCTGCCAGAGGTCTGTATGATAAAAACAGTACCTCATAGTACTGTTTCACCTCAGATGTGATGTATAAATGGTATAAAAGGTTGGTTTACACGCAACCAGATTTGTTGGCAAGATTTTGTAAAGTAAACTTGTCGAACGCAAAAAAATTCGACCTGATTTTTTTTTTCACCTTATGTGCTATCAATTCGAGTCCTTCTAGTTGGTACCAAAATCACGATTGGCCCATGGACTAAAGGTCTATCTACCAGCAGATAACTAACTAATCTGTAGGTTCAGCCTACAATGCATGATTTCTAAGAACAAACTGTGTATGCTGTGTTTGTCCTAATTTTCTTGAAAACACTGTACAGGGCTGCGAACATGTTTTTTCTGTTGAGAGGATATATGTCCCACTAAGACACCTTCTTGGCTGGACAAACAAAGTTTTAGTTGGATATCACCATCACCATGTACATAATGCCAATTACAAGTCCTTATTCTCAGTAGAACCTAGTGTAAGTGAAGAAATATTACTTGAAAATAATAACATCATTGTTTCATGTAAACAAATTTGTCCCCAAGCATTACATTTTTATCAGAAGTTACAGGCAAAAAGAATGAACTTTAGGCCAACAAATTTCAAAAACCTCTATTCTTGACTTGCAACCACGTGACAAGGCGGTCATATTGGTGGTGTGTCGGAGGTCATTACGATAGAATGTTTTTTTGAAGAATTTACATGAAAATTGGGTTTAGTTCCCGCAGGAGAGAAATTGTTCTTAACCCTAACACACCACAAATATGGCTTCTGTGACGTCAAGTGCAAACCAGCAATTGTAATCCATTTTAATCTTCTTCAAGTTTCTCTATCTGAGCCTCCTTTTGTGATTGCTCTCTTGTTTATACCTTCTTCAACTGTTCTGAGTGGTTATTTAGTATGTTTCAGTCAATATAGTGGCGATTTCATCTGTTTAAATTTTGATAAATTTCGTGCCACAGCTCCTTTATAAAACAGTGATTTCATTGAACACTTAAAATGATTTAAATAGTTGAAAAGAGGGCAGCTTACATTTTCTTGCTATCTAATTTTCCCGCAAAATCCTGAGTCTTAGAGCGCTTTAGTAGTACAGTCCTTGGTACACTTCGGTGTTCAGATTCTATCTCAATCTGCTTGACTGTATCGAAAGGGTTGCCTCTTAAAATAGATCGATAAGTGAAGGTTAAACGTGCGATGATAATGTATTACAATCCTCAGATGTCCTGTGATGCTATCGAGAAGCATAATTATGGACTCAAACCTCTGAACGAAATCAAACAAGTTGGCGTGATCGAAACGATCGATTTCACACTTTCAAAATGGACGCCAAATCGGAACCTGAAATAGCATGTGCAAAGCGAATATCTGCTGACCAGTTGCTTTGCTGTATTGTTTCATTTCCAAGCCTCATTCGATCGTATAACCCCCAGGTTTTCTTCTTTTTTCTTCTCCTGACAGAAGCGATACCCGGGAAGCGATAAAGGCAGTTGAAAAAAACGATGTAGTATTTGTAGAAAGTTAGTCAATACTCCGTTGAAATTAAGTAGCCATTTTTTTTCGAGAATGCCGTCTGTTGTTCATCGTAAGTGAGAAAAGAGTTATTATGTACGTTCTCTCTGTTTTGACTTTGTTTTCGTTTAACTGGTTGCGACAAAGACACTGTATTATTTTTCAAGAGTAAGTGACAGGCCATTTATGTTAACAATGCCTTCCAGTCACCCAAACAGAACTACACGATCTCCAAAAACAACAAGCCAACGACTCTCATCGTTAGTGGCGTGAAAACTAC